AATTGGTGGCTGACTAAATACTTTTTTGCCCCACTGTAATTGGCATTTGTCAAGACATAATAGCCTCCAAAGCAATGTGAAACAGTGGAGTTGTGTTTACACAATTAGCAAAAAGTCTGGTTAACAAATGAGCACTTCCTGCAATTTTCCCCTGCATGTCTTAAATTACCTTGTTATCTGAATCTAGAGCAACCACTGCTTTGGAATTAAGGAAATCAGAATGCGTATCCAGGGTTTATTGTAGGTTTGTACATATATATAGCCTAAACATAACAGTTATGGAATTAACTTTTGCATCCTGAAATAGTAGGGGAGAGGATCAAGAGTGAGGGCCAGGTGCAAAGGACTTAGCCCATTTCATCTGCAGCATGATCCAGGATAGTTGCTCTTTGGTTAGTGTAGAGAGTTTTCCCCTTAGATTGCTGGAATGAAAAGAAAGCATCAAATCCTTCTTTTTCCATAACCCTTCCATAAAATTGCCAGCCATTTTTGAACCCAAGACAAATTCATATTTGAGTATTTATATCTCTTTTGGAAATCTTACACTGAGAAGGAGATAGATAGGTGTATAAAAAAACAAACGTCAGGCACTATAGACAGTTTATTATATAAATTACATTAAATGTTCAAATCGGTTGCCATTTTCTTGTAAACACTTCCTTACTTGTTTGATGCCTGACATTTGAACCTTTCTAACTAATATTCTGAAAAAAAATAATTAATAAAACATGCTATGATTGGCCTATGGGGCCTGAATGTGCTATTTCTGAAGTAAATGCCATGTAGGATGACTCTTGATAGGTATGTTGTTATATATCGGGCATGTAGGTATTTAATACAATATTCCAGGGTTGGAGACAGAGCTATGTTATTTTGCACTCTTTGTTGGATTGTAATTTTTCCCTTTACTTTTGAGGTATCGTCACATCTTAATGATCTTCTGGTCTTTTGTGGCGGGAGTTGTAACATTCTATTGTTACTTAGGACCAGATACCCTCTTACCAAATATTCTGCTTACAATAAAACATAAATCCAAGGTAATGTATAATTTTATCAATGTACTTTAGATATTTCACGATGGACAAAAGTGAAGTATTACTTGTGTTACTCGCAGGCTTCAATGCTTTTAAATATTGTGAGAAGCTGAAATTTCTATTTATCGGTAATTTTAGTTGCTGCTGATGCAATTCAAAGATATTCTTGATCTAAAAGGAAGAATAAAGTTGGAGAAATAAAACTTGTTAAATAAACTTTCTTACACTTTTCTTTTGTATCCTGTATATGCTTTGAAGGATTTCTAGTTGTTTGGAGCAAATTTGGATTCTATATGTAGAGATTTGCAGTGGAAACAGGAAATCCATTTTGCCACTGTGAATGAATAAAGAGAGTTTAATTTCATCCATCGGTTTAGTAGTAGTAGTAGTAGTTTTTAAAAAAAGTTTTCATTCTTTTTTCACCATTCTCAGAAAGTTGGTTACAAGGCTGTTCTTTAATTGACTAAATT